CAATGAAGTTTTGCTTTAAAACGGGAGGGTCGTCACCTGCGCACGCGCGGGCATTGAGTCCCATGCAACGATAACAACACACGCTAAGAACGCAAAGGCTCATGGTTAGACGCTTGTTTGTAAACAATGACACGCTATGGCCACCTGACGCATGCGCAGGTGACGACTCCCCCACTTTAATAGTCACAAGGTTATTATGACATAACTCAAATCAACGCAATATAGTTACGGAAAATTAAGAGACAAGAAAAATGACAGAAAACTTTGCTTATTTGTTTATATCGATATGTTTATTTGCTAATTACTGCTGCGTTTGGCTTTCCGTTAGATTACGCCATCAGTTTGTTTGCTCGCTATGAGGGCTCACATGGTGGTGATGGAGGTGGATATATGGTGAAGAATTCATGTCATCTTTCAAATCCAACATTCAGTAATAGTGGTGTTTTACATAATTATTAACGTGACTAATTATTATAAAATGGAGTTAACAACAATTAGCTGCAAATGCGGACCACCAATATTCAACAGCCTCGAATACACAAATTCGGTTTGACTAAAATGAAATGCGAAATTTGTAAGTCAAAACTGTGAAGAATGTTAATATAATGCTTTACACTTCTCTGTGCTTGTTACGCGTATGTAATCAAATACTATAGAGAATATCTTCTCTTGTCTTTGGTTTAATAGCTGATAACAAATGAAATCATTTTTCCTCCTTTAATGAATAACAGAAATAATGTTTTGAAATGCAGAAATAATTAAGTTTCAGCATTATGATTGTATTTATATATAACTGGTATACGATCTTCAGAACTGTGATAACACTTACCAGCAGAATCCGCCCAAACTGAACCTACATAATACTGGTTACGTTCCAAATTATATATAAAATGACATCATTTCTTGCAAAATATTTAATCAAAGACGCACTTATTAAATATATTTTCTGTCTGAATATTTACTAGTGGCTGACAACAATATGTTGCTTGACGGCGTTTTGAAGGGCGCTGCCGTCATTCTATTGGTCACAATATTGTTCTTTGAATGATGCGTGCGAAACTGCGTGGAAAGGGTGAATTGTGTTACGTTTATTTACATTCGATTGAAATGTCGAATGTTTAACAAATTGTCAACTACTAGTATGTGTTTTGAAATAAAACAAATGTTCTATTTGATTTTCTCAATACCAGGAATGATTTCAGAAATGTTATCTACCAAAATAAAAGACTGATCTTTAATCTGTGCAAAAGTTTTAAAGTTTAGTTATTTTCACAAATCATCCCCACATATACAGAGGGCATTATATTATGGTATTATGGATGAACTAGGTTATTAAACGGCAAATACACACAAAACGACGAATTCACACAAAACGACACATTCCCAAATATCTCAAAATTGTATTCATGCTCATGACGTCATTTCAATTTACATTTGGAATTTTTCTAGAACAAAGCAGCAAACATGATTACCCACCCGCCTTTGGGAAGGTTGATGTGGTATTGGAAATCAGACAGCTCTGTCGGGTTTGTACGCCAGTATTTACAAAATTAAAGCTGTCGAGTAAACACTGTCGTTATGGCGTTTGGCAGATATATGATCGACGTTTAATCGCGCATGACTGTCCGAATGTGAACTATGCGGCTGATGTTTTTTCCGTGCATTATCGCCGTTCGTGAGAAAATTGACACCGGAAACAGGAAGTTGACTTACGCATCAGATGCGTGCGTATGTGATGGCAAGAACATTATTATTTGATTATATTAATGAATATGCTGTTACACCCCCTCCCATCCGGCAAGAGACAGTACTTTGTTTGAACGATCATATTAATTTAACCTGTGCTCGTCCCTAAATACAAAATACTGTTTTTCTGGAGTTTTAATTTATTCTAATAGATGAACGACCTCGCAACCAATCACAATACTCAGTTTGAACCACGTTGCCCATATTCGACCATGTAATTTTTACGTCACGGAAGAGCATAATCACTTCTTTTAGAAGTTAATTATTAGAAATATTCAGTATAATAAAATTGCGCCCTCTAGTGACGAAGGTCTTTTTTGAAGTCGATGATAGAAAACAAAGTTATTCCTCAGACTACTGTAGAACAGACGAGCAACACGGCTTTTCCTCAGTCAGGAGCGTGCCACGTTTGTTTAGGGGCTTGACAATAAACAACTGATCGAAATAACGCGAATATAATGTAGTAACGCAATATCCTTTATTATTTCATCAAATAACGCGAGATAGTAGATGTACACGGGTAGTTAGTTGTGTCGTAGTTCATTTTCTTTTTTTCTTGGTTAAATCACAGTCCCTCTATAGGACTATGGTTAAATACTCCCCCACAAATGCGACAAAACATGTTTGCTCTGTAATTATATAAAAAAAGAGAATAGACTGAGATAATTGAAATTATCTGCTTTATTAAAATCAGTTTCCCATTGACTTCCTAATGACAAAGATCGCTTAGTTGAGTTTTCACATTGTCCTGATAAATAAAAGACGTCACGGCACCAAAACAGGTTGGTCGTTACGGCCCTGGTTTAAATTACATTCCATATGTGTTCATATCTAGTGTTAATATATTATTGATGCACAGCGAATGTACGACTTTATTATACTAGGTCATCTTTACACCCAATGATTCATTGTAAAGTTTTTATTATTACTAAAAGAACGTCCAACATAACTGGCTAGCTGGCTGAAAGACATCCACTGTTAATAAGACGGGAAGGGTGGGTGTGTGTGCGTGTGTATATTTATTTGCACATTTCTCTGTGTTCAAGGTTGAAACTTAGAAGTCTTTGAGAATCACATGTTGGATAAAATCTCGTCAATTGACAATCTTTTAAAAAGACAGGCACATTCAGCAATCAAAACAGAAATTATAGACGTACACACATTTGCTTCACTGGTCACAAATCACAATATTTGCTACAATGTATCACACAATAAGTCATTATAATTTATTCTAATATATCTTTGTAGACAACGTTTCTCGTGATGCATCATAAACACATATTTCCCATGATGCATCAGTCAACAATTGAAGTTGAGCTCAAAACAATATTTCAACTGACCAGATTCTCAATTCACTACATATCATTGCGCTTAGAAATTACATGGAGCACTGCCCTCAGACTAAACTTCCCAAAGAACATGCAGTACATTAGTGAGGGCGCTGTGCATAATAACTGAACAAATAAATGTGACTAACATTACAATAATATTTAAACTACTTATTGAATGTTGCAGTAAATCGAAGTGCTGAATACATATTTTTTTTTAATTTATATAAATTATTGAGTGATTTACATCGAATAGTATTCAACAAAATGGTGTGGCTCAGGTACAGTACGCAAGTTCAACCTTTTAGTGATAATGCACTAAAATGACCTCACAACTTTCATTCACAGTAACAACTTTGTATGGTTGTACAGCAACAGAAAAATAAAGTTCAAAAACCTTACTTTTTATTGGCAGACTAGTATCAGGTATCTTGTTTCGAGAAGTTCAAAAAAATGGTGCAATTAATTACACAAATGTTTTTCTTTCTTGTAATTTTATTTTGTCCACAATATTTTGTTGGAAACAAGAACAAGTCTATTTTCAACTGACATGCAAAAGTTCATCACAATAGAAGAGCCTCTCTTTCACCAATCTATGTCACAGAATAACATTTTGCTAGAAGGTACACATTCAGGAACTATTAGAGATGCAAGACCATCAAAATATTTATTTGACCAAATCTTCAAAATAAGGCGAAAGGCTTCCTAAACCACAAAAATTCCAACTTTTCAAAAAGGGCCACTTGGCGGCCACTTTCCAACTATTTCAGTGCATCATGAATATGATGTGCTCCAAATAACTTTTAATGGAGAAGTTAAAAATATTTAAAATATACAATGACTTTTTTCTCTTGAAGTTTACATGTAATGATTAAAAAAGTTTTGAAAAAATAAGTATGTGTGAAGTATATTTGTTTACTTCTTTTTCGCCACTAGATGGCGCTATATACTACAAGCATCTGTATAGTGAAGAATATAAAGCACTTTTATAAAAGAACAAACTCCAAGAAATAAGGGAATATTTCAACAGGGAAGCTGAATTTAAAATTCCCCATGATGCATTTGTTCATGTTGAATGAAATGCATCATGGGGAAACTGTCACATCACATCACTATCTTGCAAAACCAGAAATCATCAGTCACATAAATTTCTAAAAATAGAATTCCTTTACATGACGTCATAAGCTGATTCGGTGCAATTTAGTGTGTTTGTGAAACAATGCATCAGCTGATTGATCCAGACTCCAGACAAATTTCTTGAAATTCTGCAATTACAAAATAGACAAAAGCTGGTACACTGGTACGTATTCAATGGAGACACTAGCAGCATGACTTGCATTTTTACCATTTCCAATGAAAAATCTACTATGATTGAAAAAACATTTGCTTCAATCACAGGGCTTGAAGTTCAGAGTTTCACCCAGTTTCAATGCCAAACATAGCCTTAGCATATGAATATATGAATAAAAATATCTATGAAGTTCAAGCCCTGAATTATTGAAATGATGGTTTGATATGCATTGGTAAACAACTCTTTGAAACCTCATATTTTACAGCACTATTAAGACAAACTTTAAATGGAAATCTAAATTCTTTATAGATTGAATAATATCATACTACCTGCATACAAACATAATATGGGGTAACATGGGTATTTTTTTTGAGAAAGTGGCATTATTTTCAATTTCTCCTTGTTTTTACTCTGGTTTCTAGAACAAGTTTTTTCTTTTTTTCTTTAATAACTTCATATATTCTCATTGATATCAATTCTTATATTATTATACATTTTTCAGCAAACTGTCTTTTAAAAGTCTTCTTCGATATTGGTCTCATAGTGACATACAAAACATGTAAAATTTGAAACCGCTGACGACAAGCAAGTTTCCAATGAGATGTATTTATTTTCAAGAGAATTTTCCTTGCATAATATAATGCCTCATTGCTCAGTATGGGTTTGAATGATAACAATAAATTTCACACATTTCCAAATTTCAGTTCAGTTTTCAATTTTCAAACAGTACTTTCTGTTCAGAAGGAAATTTCTACAAATGAACATAACAGCCAACACTTGTTCTTTTGTAGAAATTTTAAAGGGTGATGGAAATCATGAATGAATGCATTTCATTTTATCTTGTGTAAATAAACAATGCATTTGACCCATAGTATGGGACCCATATCAAATATCGACCAATAGGCTTCTATCTTAATCTGCTTTTTAATCTCTGTTGATTTTTAATCTGCGAGTTAGCTATAAGATTAGACTTATCAAGACTGGCCCTTATAGAACACATACTTCGACAGAAATTTTTTTTAGAAATAAAGAACATTGTTAAAGATTGGTTAAGTTTTCTAAAAAAAAGAATTATTAAAAAATAAAAAAAAAGTTCTGAATGTATTTTGATGTTGCGAGTGGATTAAACCATATTCTGACAAACATTTTCTTTGTTCTGATTGGCCAAAGACATGGTTTGTGACAGCCAATCAAATGATAGAGTATTACAAATACTTTTATAAACATTTGATATACCGGTATACATATTGGTATACAAGACACAGAGACAATCAAGAACAAATTTTGTTGGCGAAATTAAAGCAAATAAAACAACTACATTTGAAGAAGGTACTCATTAAAAGTTTTACCTTAGACAGAATTTACACTAATACAGTCAAACTTCTATTTCAAGACTTTTTCAGCAATTAATATTTTTTTTTTGAGATATTCAAAACAAGAAACACATACATCCAAGAATTATTTATAAATTATAACATTTCTGCTTAGACATTTTACAACTCGTTTTTACTGAAATACTGCTCCAACCATGCATTAGCTGCTATTGTCATAATATTCTGTGGATTTTGCATCACTTGGGTCACGTGATCACTGACAAAGGACACGGTTTCGCCTTCAGCGATGATTATTCTATCAGGCCAGGCGGCGTAACTCATCGCAAAACTATTTTCCATGTTGTCAACAAGTACACGGACTTTGTTTTTGGCTTTGTGATCGGTTGATAAGAGTTCTGTATTTAAATCAACCAACATTCTACAAAATAACAAAGACAAGTTATTAAATTGTGTGTAAGGAGGCTGATACAAAGAAATGAACATTTTAAAATCTAGGGAGGATGTGTTGATATTTAAATTCTCTCTATTGGTCAAATTGGTCAAAATACATACAACTGCAATTCTTAATTCATAAAAATAATCAAATAAATTTCTAATGTAAATTATAGGAAAAAAGGTATATTTGCTGGATTTTATCTCTGAATCATCCATTCAAGCGGAAATAAAGTATTTTACAGTACACAAATCATGTTCAAGTTTCTCAGACTCCATTCAGTTCTCGTGTTACCGGTACTGGCTACTTTCTAGAAGAGCATGGCCTGTTTATTAAGGTGCATGCTAAGAAGTTAATAAATCCATCAAGAGTGGCGAAACTCAATTTGCATTCAGATGAGATCAAACATGTGCACAGCAGTTAAAAACCAGTGATTGCTGACTAAAAGCAATCAAAGGCTGCCAGATTTTAATCGGATTTTGCAAAATTTCAGGAAATTGTTGAGCCAAAAATGTGTTAACTGTGTCTGAATTAAAAATGAGCTTCTTTGGCTCTTTGTTAGTTAAGTGGTGACAAGGAATTGAAGGCGGACATTTACTAATATCATTTTTCCCATTTGTATGCATTTGAAGTTCAGCGTTTTTAAGTCTAATTATTCTTCACATATTCCACCAGACACTGTGCAATTATATCATTCAAACTGTCATGTGATGTAGGTCAAAACTTTTCATCTACTTTATTTAGTATCTATACTTTCAGAGAAGAAGTAATTGCATATTCTTTTTTCAACTATATTTATGGCAGGCACAGTTACATGTGTCTCATGACTTATTTTTTATGTGCATTTGCAACTGCTGACATATAGTACATTTTGCCACAGAACCATACTAATATTTAACAACAGCTGAGAAAATGTCAAATAGTGCAACTCACCTTGCTGCCTCTATCCTATCTTCTAACGTCTGATGTTGTTTGACGGCAGAGAATTTGTCACCAAAGCTCCAGCCATCTTTAGGATGTGCCTCCAGCAGATAGATGAACACAAAGTCCACCCTATCGTGGTAGCGCTTAAACATTTTTAAAAGAGGACCACCTTCAATGATGGTCTGAAATGAAGAGGAAAAAAAAAACTTCAAATAATACATCTAAAATAACTTTATTGATGATTTTTGAATTATAGTATGGATGGTTAAAGTGAAGAAATATGGTAATTATTAGTTAACTAAAAAGGCAGGAATATTGACATGTTCTAAAGGAAATGAGTCACATACTAGTATTCAGTTTTAAAACAAAAATTCAAAAGATTTAAATTTGGTTCAGTTTTCAATACAAGCAGCCAGTCCGGCTGAGATAGCTCCGCTGTTAGCAATGCACATTTCAATTAAAGAAGAGAAGATATCATTAGAAAATGAACAATATGTATAGTATGTATAACAATCGGACTTGCTGTTTTCAACAAGAAGTCAAACATATCACTTTTTACCAAAAATGACTAAAATATTCACCAAAATTAGAGAATTTAAGATATCATCACGAAATGAACAAATCTGAGAGAAGTCCACATGTAGTACCTATATATGTAATATCAAAGCACTCGGACTTGTGGTTTTTAACAAGAAGTCAAAAATATCACTTTTTACCAAAAATGACTAAAATATTCACCAAAATTAGAGAATTTAAGATATCATCACAAAATGAACAAATCTGAGAGAGGTCTACCCCAAGTACGTGTACACACCAAGTATCAAAGCATTCAGGTTTGTTGTTTTCAAGAAGAAGTCCAAAAGGTAAAACATTGACACGGACGACGGACGCTGATGGACAATCACTCATATGATAAGCTCCGCTCAACAAAGTCAACAGCGGAGCTAATAAAATAGTAAAGAGTATCAATCTAGGAGTAGAAAGTCTCAACAATGAAGATGATTCATTCAAACAGATGTTAGCAATATATTGAAAAATTTACTAGCTGACTACTCCATCTAAAAATATCGCATACATATATACATGCATGTATAAATGCTGAACCAGTGTCAGCAAGGGGTCAAAGGCCAATTACCTACCCTCATGATAGGTCAGCTTTGTGATGATGCAATCAAAACCATTACGCGGTTGGATTTTGTTCTCAGTTTCGATAGCTTGACCCTGTTTCTTGTTTCTATAGATATAACATCAACTTCCGGTCTTCTATCACCAACTGAGATTTCGGCCTGAAGCAGATCACTAACGCCTTTGCCAACAAAATCAAAACACTGCATAATCTGAA